ATGAGTTCAAAGGTTGATCAACAAGATTCATTCCTGCTGTTGTAAGTTTAAAAGATTTGCATAACTTGGCAAAATGACCAACTTTCTCACATTTAAAACAAATCGACTCTCTAGCAGGACAGACAGCTTTAGCATGTCTTTGATTCCCACAGTTCCAGCAATTTGAAACAGAATTTAAGTTAAATTGCTTTGGCTTTTTTGTTATTGCAGCTACTGTTGTATCTGATGTATTATACTGGAGGTAATTTTCAGCATTTTTTTGCACTGATTCCAAGGTTTTAGTTTTTGAAAATATTTCATCCAGACTTATTGTACTGTTTTTTTTTATAGTAATTGCTGTCTGACAACCTGTGAATTTATCCCTTTTATAAATGCATCCCTAATATATTCATCGCGATATTCAATAGCAGACACCTGTTTAAAGTTACATTCTTTTGCTAAAACTTTAGGAGCGTGTAAATACTCATCAAAACTTTTGCCTGGCTGTTGCTTACGAGTTGCCAAGAGGTGTCGTGCATAAACCTCATTTGATGGTTTTAGAGATGCAGAGTTCCAAAAAGGACTCCGGATTTGAAAATCAAAAAAAGATCATTTCTTTCCTAGTTTTTCTTATCCAGGAACTTTAAAGATATAAAAAAGCTTATGGACTACTAATGGGAAAAAAATCAAGACTTATAGGTCAGAAGAAAAATGAGTTCTCCGAGTTCTTCTTTACTCCGAGTTCAAAAATAAATTTTTGAACTCTGAGTCCTTAGGCATAATCGCGGCAAGGACTCCAGGACTCTGGGCTTAAAAACAATAAGTTCCAAGTCATTAAATATCATAAATTTTTTTCTTATAACAGATCATTAATCAACCAACATGTTAAGAGTTTCTGGACACCAGGCATCATAAAAAAATAAATAGAGTCCTTTTGGGACTTCGCATCCCTGATATTGTTGTTACACCATTTAATTTTTTAAATATAAAATGCAAGCTATGTTGCTTTTTTTCCTCTTATCTTGTTCTTATTTTTTGGAGTGAACAAGCCTAAAAGTTGAAAAATTCTTTTAATTCCAGCTCTAGAGTCTTGTGCATTTAATAAACCTTCAATATCCATTGTAATGTTGCAGTCCTAAGATTCTACCATTCTATTGGTAATACCTAATAATTTATCAGCACTTTAAAACTATTAACAGTCTCGCTTATTTTTGTTTGATCTCTTTGCAACTTTTTTAGAGTGACTGATGTTTTTAAAAACAACAATAAAATTTATGAATATGCTTCATTCTGTTTACACTCTACATAATAGAATTCAAATTGGAGTAGAAATATTAAATTAAATTTGATTTAAGATATTTTCCTATAGATAAAAAATTCTATCCTATAAAAATAAATAAAAGATATTCTCCTATAGACTTAGATAAAAAGAGAAGCAGTAGAATGTTTAACACTTAAATTTGACTTTGTGGCTAATAATATGTAAAATAAAACATTTTTAAAATTCTATAGATTTTATATATGTAACATATATAAAGATATTATATACTATAAAAAACGAAAAAGAGAGTTTTTTAAAAAGCTTAAATTTTCTAAAAACATCAAGACATTGAAAGAAATTCGCAAGTCATGATAGAGATGATTTTATTATTAATATGTTTAGGTTATTAGTTGTATCTACATGTTAAACACACATTAATGAGACAGCTTTCATTCTTATCGGAAAAAAGATTTTACATTCAAACTTTGTGACCAAAAGTGTGACCAATGAAAACCTTGATAAAAAAATAACTGTAATGTAACAAAAGTTCATAATCCAGCATGTGGCCACAATTACAACCTATAGAAGATTTCTGGTCAATCCTCAAATGCTACATGTATGAAAATAGTTGGGAAGCTAAAAATAAAGATCAGATGAAAAAATGAATCCATTCTTGTTTAAAGAAAGTTGATAAAAATCTTGTACAAGGCAAGTGCGAACATGTATACAAAAAACTTGGTGCAGTACTTCATAACGGCGAGAATGCATTATTTCAGTCCCCTAAGTAAAAAATTAATATATTGTGTACTAATCTGTACAAAGTTTTTGTTTATTAAACTTTTTTTTGTACTATTACTTCTTGTGTTTATTTTGTATCAAATTTTTGTCACCAGGATTTAAAACTAGATTTATCCTTACTAAGAGCTTTTCTTTTTTCTCTTTTTTTTCTTTCCTTTTTTCTTATTTCCTCAGCACAACCTTAGCATTAATGTTTCTTAGATTTCAATATTATTTTTTTCAAAACTGTAACTTACTTTGATTATTATTAACTAACAAATTGAAAAAAAAAATTTAAACAACTTCTTTAGCAATATCACATGAAAAATTCTTAAGAAAATAAATGAAGCTAATGATGAAAATTATGAATGTTTGAATTCAAACTATTCAAATTCATACTAAGGGTTCTTTGTATTACCATTGTTAAGTTTTTGTGTTCCTTTGCATACAAAAAAGTCTTTTTCTTATAGTCTGTGGGCTTACTTTTGTGTCCCTGGATAGTTATCCCAATATTTCTTAAGGATCTATGATTGAACTCTATGAGAGAACTTTCTATAAAAGGCTTTTATGATTTTAAATCTCGTTTCTCCGCGCAGCGGCCTTGTTCGTCAAGGTTCGTGTTTCGGAGTTATAGAGTTGAGAGAGGGTTATAGCCACAAATAAGTAGCCTCCTCGTCTGTAGTGGCCTTCTTGGCCTTGAGGAGGTGAATTAAAATGGAAAAAAAAAAAAAAAAAAATGACTTTAAAAATACAAATTCTAAATATAGTTTTTTGATGATGCCTCCCTTTTATTTTAAGACCTTCTTTGTCTGAAATTTGACCTTAATGTTTTAGATGATTCTCATAAGCACCCCCAACAGTCTCTGTTTTTTATCTTTTTTTATTTTGTGAAATGTTTTGTTTGTTAGCTAATTACTTTTATATATCATTTAGAAACTTTAAATTTACAAGAAAGTTCTTCCAGATTTTCTGCCAACAAAGGTAATTGTTATGTTTACTTTTGTTTAAAAATGATTGTTAACAATTGAGTTAAGGTGTGCTTTGTTTGCTTAAAGAGGTGAAAAAAGTTTTGTAGTAACAGTACTTTTACTTGATTGATATTTTACTCACTGAAAATTGCAAGTAAATATTAGTTACTTATTTACTGATTAGTACAGGTAAATATTATCAGTCAAAAAGTTTACTCAAGTAAATGTTAAAAGTAGCTCATTAAAAATGTGCTCAGAGTAAAAGGTACAGTGTTACTTTTTCAACAACTTTTTTTTTAAACTGTTTTTAAAATTTTCTTTTAATACTTGACTAAGAAAAATTTAAATTCAAACTGTCAGCAATGCAGGTGTTTGATTTTTTTGTAAGGAGTAGTCCATAAATTATGTTGCATAACTTATGATTTCAAATATTTTTTACTTTTAATATTTTAAATTTTCTTACCTGCTTTGAGTTAACTAATTAATACATTTCAATACATGTAAATTTTAATTGTAATTAATTAATATTTCTTAATTAATAAGTCATTATTGTTTAAGAACTTAATTAATAAGTCATTATTTGTATATTGTAAACAACCGGGGTTGATATTTGGCCGTGGCCGGGTTTGATAAAAAATAGCCAGGGCCAGGTTTGTGACCCGGGCTGCATAGATATTTATATATTCTAAAGGATTTTTTTTTTTTATTCAAAATACATGTTATATTTTGTATATATATATATATATATATATATATATATAAATATATATATATATATATATATATATATATATATAAATATGTATATATATATATATATATATATGTATATATATATATATATATATATATATATATATATATATATATATATATATATATATATATATATATATGTATATATATATGTATATATTAACATTATTATGATCAACATGATCATCATAATCATCATTATCTTCATTACCATCATCATCTTCATCATCATCGTTATCATTATCATTATCGTCTTCTCTTTCGGCAAGTACTACACCATATAAATACTAAAGTTTATATAAATATGAAAGAATATTGTATACCAGCATCTAAATAAATAGCAAACATATATGTTTATGTCCATAATTATTATGGACATAAACATATATGTTTGCTATTTATTTAGCTTTATGCATATATATTATTAATATATTTGCATAAAGCGCATCTCAGAAGCTTTTATTCCTTCTGGGCTAAAAGTTTGGAAGCTTTTATTTCTACTCTTCAATAATTGAAGAGTAGAAATAAAATAACTTGTGTAAAACAACTGTAAAACAACTTCGTGACCCTGTTTTATACAGTTTATCACCTTAAGATAAAACGAAGCCAATAAATGATATTGTTCTAATTAATAAATTAAAAAATTATTGTCATAAAACTTAATATTTGCACAAAAACATGCCTATAGACCATGTTTCTGGAAAACACTTCTGCAAAACTATAACAGGTATGTTGTCCAGACCACAAGTTGTAGAAAAATCTAAGCAGGAAATCACTTTAGATACAGAAGCTGGAGTGATACAAATATCAAACAATGGATTAACCTGTTTATTTGCTATATTAGGTAAAATGCAACTAGTGGAATCAAGAGAAGTTATTTATGAAAAGTTCTTTGCAAACAATTCAGCTTTGACTTTAGGTGAGGTGACAAAATCTGAACCATACAAGAGAGGTGGAATAACAGACTTATTCTTATTATTGCATTTATAATTGATACTGTTGAAGATTCTCAAGAAGTGATGAGAGCCTAATTTTTGAGATGAAATATGAGATTTCATGACCTTAGAATAGCGGGCTATGGCATTAGAAAAAACTTTTTTAGAATGGTTTCTAGCAATAGTAAAGAGGTGTCTGTTTTTTGGAGAATTATTTTGCTGATAGATATGGAAGTAATGGTTTTGATTAGAAATTGCAGCATGGTTTCTCAATTGAGTTGAGGAAAACCATGGAGAAGAGTGAGGTTTGACTTGGTTGAGAGGGAATAAAAGATTCTATGCCAGAAGAAGCAAATCAGCAGGAAGATAAAAGATTTCTACCCAAAGGGCCATCACATAAAAAATCATGGAAAGAGTTTAAGGTAGTTGTAAAAGGTACAATGATAGAGCATTCTGATGATGAAGAAGAATGAGATTATAGTTTTAGAAAGATCAAACTGTGATCAGAATCACCTAAGGGTGACTGTGGAGAAACTGAGCATTGACTAGGATCAGAAACAAAACATAAGTTGAGTAAGGAAGGTAAATGATTTGGGTTGTCTTGAAAGCGAGTTGGAAAGTTGACTATTTGATTGAGAAAGGCAAAAGTTGTGGGCCTTAATGCCTGCAGAGTCACCGATACTAGAGCCTAGCCATTCAGTGTGATGAGAATTAAAGCATTAAAGTCACCAACAATAACGATATAGGTTGATGGATAGAGAGAGAGGGCTTGGTCAATTTGATCAGAAATAACAATAAAAAGAGTGCAGTCTTGAGATGGAGAGCAATATAGAACATATAGAAAAGCAATAGAGTGAAGTAGTGGTAAACGAAAGCACATAAAAAAATATTCGGTACATTCAAATATAGTGTCCTGACAAATGGGTGAATTCTTACAAATGTAAATGCCCAGGCCAAGCATGTGACTATTGGAGTCTTTATGAATTAAAGGAAGATAACCATCAACACAAAGATAACAAGATGAGACTCAACTTAAATTAGTCTCACAAAGAGCAAGTAAGTCTGGTGAACTTTGCAAGAGACAAGACTCAATAGAAGAAAAGTTATTTCGAAGACCACAAATATTAGTGAATAATAGGTGATAATGATAATGACGATAGTTTTTTGAGTTTTACAATTTTTGGTATTTAGTCGTTTTTGGATTAGTTAAAGAACTTGACTCAAAGCACAGATAGTACTCAGTACACTATTTAATAGTCTTACTCTCATCCCATTAGTCTTGTCCAACTCGTCTTACTATCGTCTCGTTAGTCTTCTTTCTATCATATGCAAGGTTTTTGAATCTTTAAATAATAAACTCTTAATCTTGAATATAACTTACTTTCTCAGGCTTGGTCGGGAAGCGGGAGCGATCACCCTCGATTGCTGACCACGTAAATAATATTTAGTTGCGAAAAGCTGGCCAGATTTTTTAGTCATTTTAAGAACATTTTAAAAAGCAAAAAAAAAAAAAATTGGACCGATGAGAGACAATTACAAAAAAAAAAAAAATGTAGGCAAATAAAATATCTTTAAACCCCAAAAAAACCTTAAGCTAAATAAATTACATTTAGAACAAATATTTTCTAAACATCGGTTTTTTATAATTTTTTTTATAAAATTAAGCGATGTTTTTTATATAAAGTAACAACTTACGATTGTTTAAAAGAGAAACAAATATTCTTTATTTAACTAAATTTGAAATTTTTAGTTTTACTTAAGCTTAATTTATTTTATAAATAAAAAAGTTAATTTTTTAATACCTATTTTATGTTTCGCGTAGTTTGAAAAGTTTAACATATTTGAAGCAATTCTTCTTAGTAAGATAAACAAATGAAATAATTAAATCATTGTATTATTATAGGAATTAAATTAACAAGATAGAAATCAACTAAAAAGGTTAAAAACACTTAATGACCAGGAAGCGAAACTGCTTCACAATATCGCTAATGATGTTTAGTAAGTGGGCTTTTTAATTTTAATTAGTATTTAAGGCAGAAAAAAGTATAACGAGTTTTAAGAATGGCAACTTAAGCGAAAATAATTAGAGTTAGTAAACCAATATCTAGAAACTTTTCTTTATATCTAAATATTTGCTATTATATATTTGTGTTCTGTTGTGTTCTCAGGCGCGATGCTTGTTCATCCGCGAGTTACTTTGTATGCGTTGTTTGTGTTTAGTAACCAGAAACTTCTTATATGTTTGTTACATAATTAGTTTTATTAACTTTAACGATTAAAAACGCAATTATTTTTGTAAGTCTTTGTTTAAATCATAAAAATTGCTTTAAAAGATACATTACGATAAAAAACAAATACACAAAATTACATTTACATAAAGAATACAATCTCTTTTAAAATAAAAAATAAGAATATACTAATAAAATCTATGGTTTATAATAAACTTTTAAAATTTTAACAATTTAACTAATATATATTTAAAACATTTATTTTTGTAAACAAATAATATATATTCTTAAAACAATTCTACAAATCTCAAAACGTAACAAATCGTGAATAATACAATTTTAACAAAATACTCTAGAACTTTATTTCGCTTAATCAGCGTATTTTTTGAACCAATAGAATTAGTTTGTTTGTTAATTTGGCGGATTTTTAGTGTTCACAAATATTCTTTTTATTCTTTCGGACAAAGATGTTTTGAGAACATTCAAGTTTTTTATGTTTCCATGTATGTCCGTAAAACAAAAATTCTTTGTTTCGTACATAAACTTAAATGTTCTCAAAACGACTAAAAAACCTGGCCAGTTTTACGCAATTAAATATAATTTCCGTGGTCAGTATTCGAGAGTGATCGCTCCCGCTTCCCGACCAAGCCTGTTTTCTGATCATCAATACGGATTTCCATCTTCTCATTATACAGCTGATTTGCTAACAGTAATAACCGATATGCTTTTATTGTTCTTGACATTTCTAAAGCTATTGATAAAGTTTGGCATGCTGGTCTTCTCCATAAGCTTTCTTCTTACGGTGTATCACATAGCATTTTTAAGACTATTTAATCCTTTTTTTCCAATCATAGTATAAAAGTTGTCCTTGTTTGACAGCACTCTTCTTCATATCCTGTAACTTTAGGGGTTCCTCAAGGCTCTGTCCTTGGCCCTATACACTTTTTAATTTACATTAACAATCTTCCAGGTATTCTCACATCTAATGTGATATTGTTTGCTGATGATACTACCATTTATTTTGTCTTGATAAGAAGCCAAAATTCTCTGGTTGCTTAAAGTGGGCATTTGAGCCTGAAAAGGATCTCACTTAGTTTTTTTCTTGCCTGCTAGTAAAGGTCAGTATCAACTTGCAATCATTTTTTCATCTCTTTTAAAATAACAACTTTTGAGAGCAATCATTTTATATTTACAAAGAAGCAATGTAAAAAGGTGCCTTCTGATGCTAAGCTTCATTATTCTTGTTTTACTAAATCTTGTAATTTGACTCAGAAGTTAGGCTCAAGACACCTTTGGAAAATCTTCAACAACATCATTAACTAAGGTGAAAATAACATTCTCTAATTCATCAAACTGATCTTATTACCTCAATATTAATGTCCACATACAGATTTCTCACCATGGCCTCTGATGATCCAGGTGTGAAATGACTGATATGAGAATGCACAAAAACTTTTTTTTAAAGCAGTAAAACAATAAAAGAAGAATGTTAGGTTATTATATTTGTTATTAGTAAAGATATTAAATTCATACAGCAGATTTTTTTCGAGTTTAAAATAATTGTTCTTTAACAGGAAAGTCAAATGATTTTATGTGTGAAAGGCAAACAACAATTCCAATAGTTAGAATACAGTAAATATATAGCAAATGCACAGAAATCAAGTGGGATTTTGTAAATTCAGTAGGTTAGGAATGTAGAACTACAACAGGTAATGTAGCTAGAAGTGTTCTTCAAATCAGCTGAGCGATATAGTTTTTTGTTGTCTACTTTTTATTCATGCTTTGTCATCTAGTCAGAAAATTAGTATAAAGAAATATAAGGGCATAAGTAAGGATACTAACATTCCTTTTCTGCAAGAAGTGTCCCGGGTTTTCTGCAAGAAGTGTCCCGGGTTTTCTGCAAGAAGTGTCCCGGGTTTTCTGCAAGAAGTGTCCCGGGTTTTCTGCAAGAAGTGTCCCGGGTTAGCCTGACACTAGTTATTTTAGTTCTATAAATTGAAAAAAATTTGGCATTATTTTTTTCTTGTATATTTTATAAAAATAAGTAAAACAGTAATTACAAAACTTTAGTTGTTTAGTAATTGTATAGTTTATTTCATTTATTAATATCAAGTTGAGAATGTTTTCATAAAAATTATATAAAGCTTAGCAAATTATATTTTGATTGAACACTATTGCTGACCACGCAAATGATTTTTTTTGTTGACAACTTGACCTCTACCATTTAATTGTTTTGATGATTTAAACATTTCAGAAATGTGCTGAAATAAGAAAAAAGAAATGCTAAGCTAAACAGTTTAGCTTAACATCTTTTTTTTTTAAGTCTGAAAACTATAAAAAAAAATGAAAAAAAACTGAAAAAGAAAACAATTCCTCACTAAAAAGAAAATATATAAGCTTCAAAATAAAACTCAAAAATTCAAACTCGAATTGAAACCTAATTTTTTTTATGTTTTTAATTGCAGTTGAAATAAATTACTTTAAAATTTATCTTTTGAAACGTTTTATTAAAGTTACATAAAATGCTTGTACAAATTACTTCTAATGATGATGGGTCTGGTTGTCACATTTCTTGGTACGTTTAGATTAAATTTAAAACTAGTACCAAAAAATTTTGTTTATATAATACAAAGAATAAATCTAAATAATCTGAAAAAAAAAAGCTATATACTGAAAATTTTTTTTTTTAATATTACATTATAAACACATTTAGTTTAGGACTATTTAAGTGTTTTTAAAAATGGTGTTTTTATAAATTGTTGTATGAAGAACACAATTCACATATAAATTGGTGTAAGCCTGGTGTGCATTCTTCATGAGCCCATTTTTGGCAAGTCCACTGTTCTCTTGATCTGCTGTTAGCAAATGATTCACAACAATAGATACATAGATACTCTTCATCTTTAGATTAAATTAAAACTGTAGAAGTTTTTTTTTGGGCAAAATTGGACTTTATCAATTCTTTTTTACTTCTATTAATAAATAATTTACGATTCTTATTAATATTTTTTTTTTAATTTTTTTTTTATATAATTAGCAAGCCATGTTTTGTGAGTAAGTAAGAATCATAGATAAATGTTTTTTCCTATCTCTTTTTGACGCTAACCTTGGACCTGCTTTAGGCAGAGGTCTTATACTCTCAGGTAGTATAATTGAATTTTTTAAAATTAAACTTTTAAAACTTGAGGCAATTGTGACAACCATCCCTACATAATATTAATATATATATAATAATCCCTACATAATATTTTATACATAACCATCCCTATATTATGTGACAACCCATTCTAAGTAAGTTGCAAGACACCTGTAAATTTACCTAAAAGAGTGTGAGTTGCATGAGAATTTTTTGTGGATTAAGTTACTCAAATGAATAAAAAACTTTAAAAATGAACATTCAAAGCATAATAAAATAATTTTTGTTTAATAAAAGAAAATTTCTAAGTGAAGTTTAACTTTTTCATATCAAAAACCTATAAAAACGAATAACTTTTTTTCTACACGAAAATGTTTTTTTATATAACATTTTATATAACACGAAAATTTTTTTTATATAACATTTCCATAGTATGATTTTAAAGTTCTAAACCTTTTCCAAATTTTCCTGTAGTAAATGTTGTGACAACCAACCCCACGTGACAACCGACCCCACTCTCCCCTATTAATTTATAATATATATTATAGCATAATTAACCGATGAAATTAAATAAAATATAAAGTTATTAAATGTATACTTAGTCTACAGTTTGGGTCAGCATAAATAATGATCAGTTCATTATAGACCACTGGTTAAGGGATCTGGCTCTTTAAAAGTCACAGCTCAAAAGATAATAATGTTTCTATAGTAACTTAACAATTTTTTTGTTCATCTTACTCGCTTCAAATTTTAACAGCAATTTTTTTACAAAAAATATATAATTGATGATTAAAAACTAAACAAATCATTACCTAGATAAAAAAATCATTACCTGGAAATTCAACAGTTGTTTCAAATAACTAAGATGAATTTAATTGAATGAATTTAATGTTTCAAATATTTATGTAAATAAATATTCAAATATTATATTTTAAATTATTTCTTTAGATGATGATGATAATGATGATGATGATGATGATGATGATGATGATGATGATGATGATGATGATGATGATGATGATGATGATGATGATGATGATGATGATGAGTTATTGTATTTAGATATATCTGAGATATGCACAGCACTTAAAAGTCATTATCTTACAAATTATGCAAAAATAAATGAAATTCAACCACCATTAAAATCACCTGCAAATGTTGATCTAATGCATAAGTTTGTTGATCTATGTATTGTTGATGCCGTTAATACTCAAATAGATGGTGCTTATAGTGTTGAGCGAAAGAAATTTCTTGAAAAGCAATTGCGTTATACACCCATTCCATATAGTGAAGTTTTTATGAAAGAAAAATCTGTAATATTAATATCTGGAATAGCTGGTATTGGAAAAACATGGTTGCTTAGAAAATGTTTGCTTGATTGGTCAAATGATCGAATTTGGAAAAATGTTAAACTTGTGTTTTATTTGGAATGCAGGATGTTAAATCAATATCAAAATATTTCAAGTATTAATGAATTACTAAATATTTTCTACAAAGATATTATAAATGATTTTAGTATAATTAATCATCATGCGCTGTTTATAATTGATGGATTAGATGAGTTTAAATATTTTAATGAATTAATAAATCACAGTTCGAGTTGTAATTATCCAATTGTTAAAACTTTAACCGAAATTCAAAAATACAAATATGTAGTTGCTGGTAGAGTTTATGCAATTGATCAATACCAAAGTATATCTACAGAGCATAGTGATAAGTTAACCATTCAAATAATGGGATTTAATGAAAATGGAATAAATAATTACATAGAAAATAATGTTTTAGAAGAAAAAAAATATGTTGTGAAAGCAACATTAAAGGAATCTCCAATTGCAAAAGCCATGTCGTCAGTTCCATTTTATTTATCTTCCATGTGTAAGATTATTAGTGACTCAAAAAAAGTAGATAATTCTTTTTTAACAATGACAGATTTGTATGCAAATATTTTTTTATACTTTTTGCAAAAACACATCATCAAAAGCAATGAATTGATTTATCAGATAATGGAAAGCGACTCCAATAAAAAATATATTTTAAATATTTGTAAAATTGCATATCGATTGTTTGTTGAAAATAAAGTAATTTTTTCCAAAGAAGATATAAAAACTTTTATCAATGATTTTGATGAAAATAATGATAATTTTTTTGGATTTATAGAAAGAATTGAAACAAATCTAGGTTATTACTATCAATTTGCACATCTAACAGTAATGGAGTTTTGTGTATCAGTATATACATATAATTGTTTAAGTAGTGAAGAGATTATGGCTGATAAAAGACTAAAGAGTTGTTTATCAATGATTTGTGGATTAACTAATAAAAGTCAAAATAGTTTATTAAAATTTCTTGTTAACCTGAATCCTTCAAAAAAATCTTTATTTTCTAAACTGATTTTGTTTCATAATCGTTATTCTTCAAAAAAAGCTTATGAAGATCATTTATTTTTATTTTCTATTTTAGGTAAGTCCTTAATATTTTGTTGCATTATTATTAGTCAATTTAGATAAAGATACAAGTGTTTAATAGGTATAAATAATATAGAAATTATATTGAAAAAAATTTCTGTTGATACAAAATTTTTTCAATATAATTTATTAAACAAAAGTTTAATTAATTTATCATTTTCATTGAAATTTATTAAAGGCAAAAAAAGTAATGCTGATTAACTTTTTAATGCTGATTAAAAAGTTAATCAGCATTATTTAAGACTAATTAAGAGAAATTTATAATAAATATTATAATATTCTTTATTATATACAATCAATATAAAAAATAAAAAATTAATCTTATAACTTTATTAAAAGTTTTGATAATGTCATCACTTTATTAAATGTGTGAGTTTATTGAAATCAAAAGTTTATCAACGTTATTTAAATTAATCTTTTTATTACCCTGTTAATTGTACTTGAGCTAAGTTATTTAGAGTGAGTTGCATTAAAGGTACTAATAACAACAACTCAGATAAATAGGTAAGGCTTCAAAAAATTGATCAGAAATGAAATTGAAAAAAATACTAGAAAATAAGAAAAAAAGGGATTAAATAATGAAGTGTTAAAAAAAAGCATGTATAAACAGATTTATTAGATTTCACAACAAGTTTTGTGTCTTGTAATTAAAGTTGTTAGACTTCAAAAAATAATAATAATTTTTGAAAAGTAACCCGCAAATGTTGTCCACCATTATATTTTTGTTATATTGTTATTCTGATAACAATGATCAAAGCGCAATATATTTTAACAACAGTTCTTGCCTTGCTCCTTTTAGTAAACTTCCATATTTTTGTTGATTTTATTGATATGATATTGATTTTGAGCGACATTCTGAATCTCTTTTTTACTAATTCTCCATACATATTTTAACTAATTCCATAATATCCTTTTTCAGCTTTGTGATTATGATCATGTTCAGAGCATCATATCCTATGATATTCATGATCTGTGGTTTGACTAAGTTACTAGCTCTTACCTTATCCATGGACAGCTTTTGTAAAAAATCCTGATGTGCAGTGGTAGCAGCATTTTCTGACGTTCTATCATCACCTCCCACTTACAAAAATACACATACAAAAAGCCTAAAAGATCCAATGAAGTGATACTATTTCTAAATCTTTGATGACCTTCTATCTTGAGTTGTCATCAAGGCAACTTTTTGTTGTCAACAAGGCAGCAACTTGTCAACAAGGCAACAAGTGACTTTTTCATAGAAATTTTGGCCAAAACCAAAATTTCAGCTTCAGTACTTTTCATAAATTCAGTAAGAAGCTAAATTTAGGTTAAAAAACTTACCATATTTTTTTATGATTTGAATTTTTCATTAATTTAGAAAAATAGTTATTTTTGACAATATCCACATATTATTTTAACATATCTAGATGAAATTTTAGGCTTATCGTTTGCAAATTACACAATTTCTTACAAAGTTAATAGCACGTATCCATCTGCTTCTTGAAATTATCAAAACTGCAAATAATAAAACTATTGCATTACACATAATATTTAAATCTTGCACACTGATAACAATTTGTATAAAGAAAACAAATTTGGTTTAAATAGTTTTAAAAAGTGAACAAGAATAATATTTTGTATAATTTTGTATAAACAATAAATGTAAATTGCATTTTCAGATTTTTAAAATGAAGTTTAGTCTAGTCTAAACTTTAATTTTAGTTTCAGTAAAATGTTTGCTGAAATGTTTGTCGGTTTCAGTTTAAGTATTAAATTACTACACCTGAAATTTTGGTTTATTGTTTTTAAGCTTTGTTTTGCTCTTATTATCTGGTTTTCTTCAATAGTATTTTATATCTTGTATCAGCATAAACTGCAGCTAGAAATATATCATTATCAAAGGTTTTTCTACTTGTTTCTGCATAGATTTGGAAATGTCTTCTGCAAATAGTCCTTGATCCTTTTCTAGGTCAGATTTCAATTTCAACCATTCCTTTAGGAACTCTCCTTGAGTAATGTCGATTCCTTGAAGTTTAACTGTCACATCATGTGGCTTTTTTCAAAGATCGCAAAGATGACTAGATTTATCCCATATTTCAGGGTGTAGAAATAATATCTAATCAACTGCAGTAAATTGCTCACACTGGGTATGCAAATGTAATAATCTTTCAATTATTCGGAATGTAGAACCCCAGCATGTCTCATTATCCAAAATTGAAACGACCTTTGTATTGCTTCCTTGCTAAAAATATTGTATGTGAGTTTCTTAGTTTACAACATAACATACTTTTGCCCAAAGTTGGGCAATGTATGTTTTTTTTAAATCATACAAATAGCTAGCTGCTAAGTGTGAATAACACAGCGCATCAGCATAATGTCAGTAGACAATTGTTGACACCATTCTGGGTCAATAAAGGCTAGATTTTCTTCCCAAGCTCCTTCACTTTCTTCTTCATTTGTATCTTGTTGTAAAAAATACTTATCTAGAAACCTCTGAGGATCGTTTGAGTTTGAAGCTATTTTTTATAAAAAACTATGAAAATAAAGTAAATGACAAATTTTAAAGATAAATATTAAAGAAAATGATAAAGAGAAACAATAAAAAAGATAGTATAAACAAAAATAATAACTATAATATCAAAAAAATAACGTTTAAAATCTTTTCTTATTTTAATTGGAACTCACATGTTTAAATCTATTTTAAAAATTTCCATTACTAATTTCAACTAATTGAAAACGTTAAAACAAATCATGTGACTTAACACTTAGATTGAGTTTTTTTTGTTAAAGATCGTCCATAAAGTGAATTCAACACCGACATTTAACATAAATGACAGTTGTGTAACATTTCTCCCGGTGTTTTTGGAAACTTAAGATTATAATAAAAAATTTTATTAATTTTTTTAAGCCTTCCAAAAGACTATTTTGTTAAGAGTACTATACAGCTAGTTAGAGTACTGTACATCTTACTTTCTGTATAGTACTTTTGACAAAATCATCCAATTAAGCTGTTTTTAATACCAATTTTTACAATTAAATAATTATTATTGTTGTTGTTTGTGCTGAAAATAGATACTTATAGCAAATAAAAATCATCTGGATCGTAATCACCAAAGGTGATAAAAGTATAAATGGTTTCCATTCATATATAAAAATATTATATATATATATATATATATATATATATATATATATATATATATATATATATATATATATATATATATATATATATATATATATATTGTTGTTTTGATTATTTGATAATAATCAACTCTTTTTCGATTGAGAGTGATCAATATAAAGTGAAATAATCACAAAATAGATCAATAAATAAATAAAAGGTTAGATGAGAAAAAACAACTTTTTTACGGTACTTAAAGTTTCATGCCGTTTTCAGCACTCATCAGCCATATATTTAAATCAGCCATAGATTTAAATATATGGCTGATGAGTGCCGAAAACGGCATGAAACTTTAAGTACCATAAAAAAGTTGTTTTTTCTCATCTAACCTTTTATATATATATATATATATATATATATATATATATATATATATATATATATATATATATATATATATATATATATATATATATGTATATATATATATATATATATATATATATATATATATATATATATATATATATATATATATATATATATATATGTATATATATATATATATATATATATATATATATATATATATATATATATATATATATATATATAAAATGGCCAATATCCATAAAAAATGATAATTCAATAGAGAAAATTTTTTAATTTATGTGAGATACAAAAAACTCTTTTCTTGAGATAAAGTAAAAATATAAACTTTAAATATAAAATTACAAAAAAATTATTATTTTTTCCTGCATTCAACCCAGATATACTACAAATTACCTAAGATGGATATAGCATCCATACATAACACAAATTATGTATCCTTTTTTATATTAAATGTATTTAACATAAAAAAGTATCAAAAGTACTTATAAAAGCAATTTAAATAATAACATTGTTTCATAGTTATATAGCTTTTAGTAAATGCTATGAAGGTTAACAAAACTTCGTTTTGGCTTTTAGAAAATGATCAACATTCAGAACATTTTTTAAATTATTTTATGTAGAAAAACTTTGAAAAATCAGGCTTAAAAGAAGGAATTCCACCTAAAAATAAAACAAATTTACTAACACTTATAACAAATAAATTACACAATGTGTTATGCACTTTATTTATTTGAAAACTCAAAATGTGACTAAATAGAAATGTGACTAAATAGAGAAAAATTAAAAACTTTAATAGATGTTGATTTTTTTTCAAGAAAATTTTAAAATTTATTATTGCAAGTTTAAATTATAAATTCTTTTTAAAAAAGCAGTAGTGGTGTAGTGGTAAGAGCGCTCGCTTTGCAAGAGAGAGGTTTGGAGTTCGACTCCCGCCATGTCCCTGGAAGTACCGCGCTCAACTTAATTTTTCCGCGCAGCGGCCTTGTCAAGGTTCGTGTTTTGGAGTTAAAGAGTTGAGAGAGGGTTGTACCACAATTAACAAAAAAAAAAAAAAAATTAGTAGCCTCCTCGACTGTAGTGGCCCCCTCGGGCCTTTGGGAGGTGGATAATTCGAAAAAAAAAAAAAAAAAAAGCAATGCTAAAAAGAGGTAAAAATATGTTCTTATTTAATAAATGAATCCTTGGCTTTTAATGAATGATTATATGTAGCCAGTTTTATTAATAAAATGACCCTATAAACATTTTTAACAAATGATACTAACTTTAAGTTAAGCCAACTTGTCTATCAACACAAAACATCACAACAATAGCATCACATAATTGACAAATAGCTTAACACGTTACAGTAAACTCTCAATAACCTCCTAGGGACTAAGATATTTGCTGGTTTGGGAATGTTATAGTTATTAAAAGTTAGTTAAGGCTTAACTGGAATTTCAAAATTAGTTTAAGTTATTATTGATTTTCAAGTTATCCAGAGTTTATTGTACATATTTTAA